TGAATAAATCTTTTGTGTCTCGTATCATCGCTCGTTACCATGGTACTGGTAGCGTAGCCCGACGTCAAGGAAGTGGACGAAAAAAAACAGCAACATCGGCAGAAATGGTTCGAAAAGTGAAAAAGCGAATTGAACGAAATCCGCGTCGCAGTGGACGAAAAATGGCTCGTGAGCTGAACATATCGCAATATGCCATTCGGCAAATATTGAAAAATGAGCTTGGACTAAAGCCATTCAAGTTCCAAAAAGTGCAAGATCTTACTGATGCGCAAAAAAAAGTTAGACTCGAAAAAGCTAAAGAGTTGTTTCGCTTGGCCGAAAGTGGTGAACTGCCGAATTTGGTTTTCTCCGATGAGAAACCATTCGTTATCCAGCAGTTTGTAAACAAACAAAATGATCGTGTTTACTTGCCAGAGAGGTCAGCTGAAAATTTGCAACTTCGGTTGGCCATCACAACTCAAAAGCCGGCCATGGTGATGGTGTGGGCCGCCATAACAGCCGATGGTCGCTCGCCGCTCGTATTCATCGACCGTGGTGTCAAATTAAATGCGCAAATCTATCGCGAAAATATTTTGGAGGGAGTTCTGAAGCCCTGGGCACGCAAACATTTCGGCCGCAGACCTTGGACATTCCAACAGGACTCAGCACCATCGCACTCAGCACGCGCCACCCAAGAATGGTTAAGAAATGAGGTTCCTCGCTTCATTTCCACCGCACAATGGCCACCAAAATCTCCGGATGCCAATCCGTTGGACTATTGTGCCTGGGGTATTTTGGAAAGCAAGGTTGGCACTAAAAAATACCAAAGTGTCGATCATCTCAAGCAAGCGCTTCGCCGAGAATGGGACAAAATACCGCAGAGCCACTTTCGGGCAGCGTGTGATGGTTTCATTGGCCGTTTGAAGGCCATAGTTCGTGCCAAAGGTGGCCAATTCGAACAAATCTAAACCGATTCTCAAATTTGATGTTATTTCCGACATTTTTTGCTTTCATTCAACAAAATTTAAAAAAATGAAAAAATTATGGCGTTTTACTTTGTTGCAGTTTTTTCATCTCACCTTGTACATACATATATATATACTTTAAATTAATGTCCATTAGTGTATGGAATTTACATTTGCTGTAATTCGATTTTAAATTGTTTTAATTTTTTTTTTAATACTTGCAGTTAATTAATTAATTTTAGTATGTGTGCCAAATAATGAAAAAAGAAATGACTTTCATATACCATATTAATTTGATATTTGATAAAAAAAGAAAAATTATTAAATTCTGTTTGTATTAAGCAAAATTTATTGTGCCAATTGTTGTTATGTTAAAATTGTATATGTTTGATAATTAAAGTATTTACAAAAAGCTGTCAACAGCATAAGTGCTTCCTTCTTTGTTGGTGCTAATTGATCCTGCTTTAAGAAGATTCCAATCATATATATCATCGTTTTTAAAGTCAAGACTTGTATATAAATTTTCAAACAAATGCCTTAAGTAATTATAATCAGGTGACTCTTCAAAACGTAATTTTCTAGCATATCTAGTAAAGATAGCAAATTCATCTGGCAGTCCCTTACAAAGGTCTTCTATCGGTACTGATATTTTCTTTTCAACTACTTTTTCATGTTTTTGAAGCTGCGTCTCTGCTACTAAACCTTGCCATGGTAGTTTCCCTTTCAGCAAATATAACGCGCAATACCCGATTGCCTCAATATCATCACGTCTAGATTGTTCACAACCGGTGTGCGTATTAATAGATGCAAAACGTGCCGTTCCCACCAACTCTCTATTTCTACAAAAGGCATTATGTTTTTTTGTTTTAGGATTACAATAGAATTTCGATAATCCGAAATCTGTTATAAAAACGATATTTCTATTGTCTTCCACACCAGTTAAAAAATTCTGTGGTTTAATGTCGCGATGCACAATTCCTTTGGAATGAATAAATTCAATGCGATCAAGTAATTGATCCATTAATAACAGTATTGTTTTCAAACTAAACTCTCGTCCGCAAAAATTATACAAATCTTCTATATTTGGGCCCAAACGTTCCATAACCAATACTCTAGTTTTATTGTAAGAACCAAAGTAATATATACAAGGTATACCTGAACCTCCTTTTAAAGCAGTATACATATTTCTTTCATTATCTAGCTGCTTATGTTCCTTTTTTTTTCTCTCTACTTTTATGGCTACTTCTAATTTTCGTTTGGTATCTTCTCCTAAGTAAATATATCCAAAAGAACCTTCACCAATTTGGTTAAGTATTTTATACCTGTTATCAATGAGAGGTTTGGATTTCACTGTTTTCCTGAAGCTAAACATGCTTTCTGACGAAGCACTTGAACACAGCTGACAGCACGGAATTTTAAATATTTAAACTGACAACAAATTTGAACGAATACACTTTTTTAGGAATAAATTGAATATGAATAAAATAAAATATTTAGATGTTATTATGAGCAAAGTTAACTAGATCTGCTTCATATTTTATTGAAACAGTTAAACATAAAATATATAAAATTTAGTTAAAGTTGAAAACTAAGCAACTACTTTTTAAATCATGAAAGACTACACCTAGAAAACACACTTCCAGTCATAAGTCGTCTTATATTTTATTACAACTAATATCTAGAAATCTGTAAGAAATAATATTAAAAAATTTGTTGTTACTACTTATGGTAGTAATATCTTCTGATATTAGAAGGTCCTCAACGGCTGCATTTTGCTTTTCATTCGAAGAGCAGAATGTCTTCTATTCGGTTTGGGTCTGTAGCAGCACAAAAAATCAACTATGGTCGCGGTGCTCCGCTCCGTTAGGAGACAATACCCTGTTTATTTGTATTTTATTCTAATCGCTAAATGTTAATTGGTTACGAGGTTGGAAGGTTAGCAGATATTTCTCTGTTGTCTATAAATAGCGATTTTTGGGCATCTCAGTACACTTTTGTCATAAGAAACCTGATAAATAAAATGAAGGCAAAATCTGAATCCATCCCTTTGAAGATTGTTATTTGAACAGTTTTTTTTTTACGATAAATATTCTGACATAAAATACTTCCCTAAAAATCTGTTTTATTTACAGAGCAAACTCTAAATGGTATCATTTTCCTGTAAATTTTCAAAACTTCTATGGGTAGTGTTCCTTCACTACGATGCTCCAGTGATCAGACATAACTGCAGTAACTTTCACGTGGTTTCTTTTAATGAGTTGCTGAGATCTAGTCTAATGAGGGCCGTATTAACCGTTAAGTTTTATATGACCTAAGTGTAGTCCATTTATTTTTTGCAAGCTAACAAAAGTACAAGTACTTCTCTTAACGATATTCAGTGCAACATAAACCGGTGGCATTAGGCATTCATCTAAACCGTTTGCGTTTTCATTCTCTTTAATATTCCTATGTCCAATAGTTCACGAATCGAAATGAGAATAATGTCTGCTAGTCGGTTTAGCTTGCTAATTTCTGCTATTCATTTTTTAATATAATTTTTCTTTTATTCATTCTAATAAAAGTCTAAACAGCTTTAATTGTCGCTTGGCTGTCAATAAAAATAGCTAAAATTAGAGCCTGAAAAACTGTGGAACTAATAAATCTTAGTTCTCTTGAAGGTTTCTTCTTTTCCATTAATTTCTTGAAGAAAATATTGTCTGAGCGATTTTTTTATACTCGTATGTGATAAAATTAAAAATTTTTACTTTTATTGTCTGATTACATATAAAATAATCTTTGATCTATATTCACATAAGATACATTAATAATATTTGTAGTAAATAAATCATTTTTACTGTTAACAATGCAGGAAAAGGAATATTAAAACCGAATTTTATACAAAACTCCACCAACAAAGATCGTGCGACCTCAACTTTTTCCATATTTTAAATTATATTTTAAATAAGCAAAAAAAGTTATATTTTCTCACAGTTCAAACACAAGTAATAATCATAATTAAATTTAACACGCGTTCATCACTAAAATAAATTTAAATAACTTTTTTTCTGGTTTTCATATTACATCTTAGTCTTCAGGTAACTTAAGATACAGACAGAAATGTCTGCTGTGAATGGAAGTCAGCAATAACTTGACTTTTGTAGTTCGCCATATAAGTTCATTCATAATAAAAATTAAGATTAAGTTTAGCAAATTAACAATCTTATTTTGATGTACAATTGTTAACTTTTTTTAATAAATTAAATACCAAGATTATATGTTAGCCATTTGACCTAAGCTACCATTAGTTGGTCATAAATCTTTCCTAAAGGCTTAAATGTCAAGTTATAAAAGCTTTTAAATTGGCTAATATTTTAATAAAACTTTTTCTTCATATAAAATTTTGACAAATTAGCATAATTTACTTAATTATATATTTTTAGAAATGTTTTTAAATATTTAATTAATTTAATTGTTAAACTTATATAACATTTTGTATATCATAATATTCTGCAAAGAATATAGAGGATTTTTTTAAATTCCTGTTTAATAACTAAATCACCGACTTTGATGCCTCACCTTTTTTAATGGACTTTATGGACTTTCTCAAAACTATCATTAACTTAATTATATTTCGAATTTAAGATGAACGTGTTCAAAAAATAAATTTTGTACACACCTATTAGTATTATTATTCCGTACATGTCACACTATATTATATATAGGGTGTGCGGAAAGGTTTACATATGAGTAACAGATTTTTAATGATCAAAAAATTAGTATGTTTGTGGAAAATATTTTAAATTGCCACCTTGGAAAATTGAATCAGTGAGTTCAAAAAAAATATAAGCCAAGTAATATCATTTTAAATTAATCAAAAGAGTTTTAATGTTGCGATGTACTATAGAAATATGTTGTACTAAAGGGTTAGAGTAACTGAATCTTCAATATCCTTTCATCAACAGTACTATTTTTAATCTCAACTCATTTCAAAAGTAAAGAAATTGCATTGGTTTTGAACTCATTGATGTTAATATATCTAAAAATTTTATAAAAGATGTTTTTTCGAACAGTAGTGAACTACAACAACAAAAATTTTATTTTTTATTTTTTGTATTATTTTAAATAATTGACCATACAGCTTTTTCGAGTATAAACACCCATCATCAGTGGTCTTGGAAATAATTCTTGTATTAATTATTCGTAAATAATTATTTTTGAAACTACAAGTCCCAGGAATCGAACTCGGAAGAGGTCCTTCTGTGAAGCTCAGAATCAGCGCACCTTAACCAACTGATCCAAAGCCGTACTTGACTTTTTTATGTTCGCATATTTTTCTGGAGTTCTGTTACTTTTGCTATGAAAGTTTTTATAAACAATTTTACTTGCTGTGTTTATATTAGAACGAAATCATAAACCAGCTGTAGAATAATTGAATTAATTAATTATTTTTATATTTTTATTTTTAATTGTTAAATTTCAATACTATTCTGTTCGTGAAGGCATTATTTTTTGCATGATTTGTTCTTTCTTATGTATAGAACCTTATCTAGGAACGTAATGCTGAGAAAGTCATGCTAATGTTACTCCACTAGTCGCACGGGCGAATCTACTTTAAGTTTTTCTGAAAATTAAGACAAGAAGTGTAACTTTTTAAATAATTTTTTTTTTAATATAAAATATAAATCTCTCCAAATTTAATCTGAAAAGATAAAATTTACACAGTGTTAACTCGCTCAAACCACTGACATCTCCAGGTACTGATGGTGTCTTTTCCACACTTCTCCAAAACGGAAATGAACAGCATCTAGATCCGATAACTCGTATAACAAGAACTAGCATTGTATTTTTGGTCATATGTCAACAATGCGGAAGACAGTAAAAATGGTCTGCATGCCGATGGCGGGTAAGATGAATCTGACTCAACCGGAATCCTTCAGACTAATCTAGCTTACATCCTTCTTACTTAAAATAGTAGAAAAAGTCGAGCCTTTGCATGATGTCATGAATTCTTTGCAAAAGAGGCATCAGTAGCACACTCTCGCACTGAATGAGAGCAATATGCAGTAGGAGAGTAGAATTACCGACTAGTACATGTCATGTCACTGCAAATACTTCAAGAAGGTGATCATACCCCTAATGTGGAGTATGGTAGTAGGTGAACTACTGATAAAACTAGGTAATAATGACTTTGAAGTCCAAGGTTACGCCGATGATGGCATAATAATCTGTAGAGAAAATTCGAACATACTCTGTACGAAAGAATTAAATTAGGTCTAAATGATTAACGTTGAAAGTAGGCATACTATCTTAGAAGGAAACCACTTTAAAAATCAATCTACTACCTTCTGCTGCTGCATACGAAAGAATTCAATTAGGATTAAATGATTCACTTTAAAATGATTCAAACTAGCTTAGTAGAAGGCCACTTTTAAAGTCAGTCATCTACATTTTGCTACTGTATATGATGACTCAGACTGTTCTGAATGACCAAAAACGGCAGCCATTGACGAAAACATCCAAATAGTTTTTTAAATGAGTTTAGCAAATTGGTAAATTAAAGTTAGAGAGCTATTCTATTGTGGGTGTTAAAGGTTTCTAACGTTTAGGTGGAATTGTTTAAGTACAATGCATTTTGTACAATGAAGTACAATGAATTTTGTATATTGAATTTTTTGCTACATCTCAAATATCGATATGAAATTTGTATGCAATATATTTTTTTTTTCTTGGTATTTATTTTGTACACTATATACTCCAATTTTATAACTGACAGAAGTAATTTTAATTATACAGTCAATTAAATCGGTTATCAAAATAATCATGATCTCTTATAATTTTTGAATTTCTTTATTCATTTCCGTACCACTTCCTTCCAAAAAGATTTTTTTTCGTTTTTGGAGAACTTTTTTATTACAATTACTTTCACTGTAGCATTTCCGTAATGTGAAAATTTAATTTTATTAAATAACTACAAAGAAGAAATGTAACTGAATTGAACTACATTTTTTTAAGTTTAAATTACTGATGTTCAATTTATCTTATGTACTTTTTTCCCATACAGTACGAGTAGCATCTTTAATGATACAATTTTTGAAATACGTATTTTTTATTAGTTCAAAGATAAGTAGTTTATGGCAAAAGATCTTACTAGTTTGATTATACAACATATCTTTGTTAATTCATTAATGCATTCTTTAATTTATTTCACTTCCATTCGTACAGTAAAATTCAGTACATCTCATTACTGATGCAATTAACACTGATCTTAGAATGATATGAATATGTCTGTTGAGATTGGCTATCTTTTGTATTGTAAATTAATTTTTATTCGTCTTTACTCCTCTTGGTACCAGTTATCCCTATTATCACAAGCAATTTTCTTTTATTTTGATGTAACTATTTATTTTTAATTTATTAAAAGATATTTATTAAATACGTATGTTATATCTTACATCATAAATTGA